TCTCATAAGATGAAGTTTGCTGGCAGCTTGTCTTCACAGATTGAAGAGATCTATAGGGGTTCATCTGCATGCCAGATATAGTTTCAAAAGTTCATTGTCTCACCCCTAAACACAATAACTCCTGCTGCTCTTCTTATTAATCTCCTCTCCTAGAAGATTTCACAATTCTTCATTAGCATTTGGCTGACACATGTGAGTGGATGCCCACTGTGAAGCATACAATGTTCAAAATGCACATGACCAGACAGAAATAAGCATCTTTCCCCCCTCTTGCAGTTACTAAGGAGAATGGGAGATAGGCCAGCAAGGGATCCATTCTCCCAGATAGCCAGCAGCTGTTTGTAACTCCCGGAGCAGTTCAGCCAGTCACAGAACAGCATCATGGCTGAGCGTGATGCTGGAGAAGGTACCTCTGGTGAGTATGCAAGTCCAATTAATATTTGGAGGTCACATATTATTATACTCTGTTTAATTAAAAAAAAATTATGAAGTACAGTATCTATTTGCTTCCCAGTAGCTGCACCAGGTAGGCAGAGAGTGCCCCAGTGTTTACGTGCGGAGATCTACCACACCTCATTTTCTTCTTTTGTTATCAATGGTAGCAGATACTGTAATCAAGAAGAGTAATTAAAGAGAAATTGCTTCTAAAGTTGGCATCTTTCAGTCACTTCTCTGACAGTCAACTGAACCATGTAAAATTGCAAATATGAATCAAAAACAGACAGAGCAGGGATAATGTGAAAAAAAAACCCTTTTATATTGGCTTGAGCAGGCATGAAATGATGCAACTGTAAGTGTTCAGGCCTCTGGAAATTCACAGCAGTACAGTTAACTGTATTCAGAAGGATTCTGGAGATACATGGCAGTACAATTATAATTTGCACCATTAATTGATTATTGATTATTTTTTAATTATTTAAAAACCTTATTGATTACATTAAGCAGTGACCAATGTATTTTAAAATCTAAATGTTTTATATGATTACCACTTTAGATTTAATTGTTCATGGAATTGCAGTGAATTGACAATTATATATTTATAAATGTTGGAGTTTATGATTTGGTTCGCCCCCCCGCTTTTCTGGAATGGTCCATGGCATCAAGAATGGATCCATCATTGGTGTAAGGCATACCTGTGCTTGTCTGTATCACATGTACTAAATGTGATAATGACTTTCACTGTGTGAAACAGCCTTAAGGATGCTCTATGGTACTTTTTAACTGTTCAGAATGTGTTTTTTCTGTTACTTTAATATATTAAGAAATGGTCTTGATGACAACAATATGTGTTTTTCTTCCTGCTTTTAGGGCTTTTGGTTTACTTTGTGTATTTACCTTAACATCATTTGATTTTAACGAATTAAGTGCATGCTTGGTGTAAAATAATCTTGTAAAATTCAAAGATCATAACAGTAGTTGCTTTAAACAATCCTGAAAACTTTCTTTCCCTTATAAACTTTGTTTCCTTGTCTTTGAATATCTATAGTGTCCCTAGAGCAGTTGTTGTTATATAGTTGTATGTTTACAAGTAAAGTTTGGGTTGTAAAAAGGATAAAAATCTTATGAAGGCACTTACGTCCAGCTACGTCAAGTGTCTATACTAAAATGCAGCTCCCACTGATGTAACTCACCCACTACACTGACTTAATCACTCCACCTATGGGAGAGGCGTAGCGCTTAGGTCGATGTAGTTAGATCGATGCAGTGTCAGTATAGATCAGCGATATACAGACGGAGGCTTGCGAGCCACAAGTGGCTCTTTAATGTGTAGCCTGTGGCTCTTTGTAGCACATATTAAAACACTGTGTGATATAATTATTAGCCAATCAGGGTGCTTTTACTGTTATTAACCAATTGTAGTTGATAAAATAATAATACTTGGTCAGTCATTTTGCTGTGACAACTATATATATACTGTATAAATATGAATATATAGTACTATAGTAAATGAAACAATGAATTCACGCTACTGTGGCTCTTCCGGGTAATGTTGATTGATCGCTAATTTGGTTCCTGAACTACTGAGGTCTGAGGATCACTGGTGTAGACTCTGTGTTGCTTACACTGACTGTTGCTACTTTTCAGAAGCCATCCCACAATGCCCCACACTGACAGTTAAATTGGGGCAAGCACTCCTGGTGATGACACAAGAAGTGTAGTGTGGACATGTAAAACCGATTCAATTACAACCATGGCTGTACGTTGATGTAACTTAGGTAAACTTAATTTAGTAGTGTAGACTTGGCCTAAGTGAAGTCATTTGGTTAAAGGAACTGGCCCCAATTGAGAAGAGTGAGCAGGGCTAGCTAATAGAACATTGGAACGGATTAGATGATCTGGGTTTTATTGACGCACTGCCTCTGACCTGAGCAATGACAAGCAAGTTATTTCACTTCTATGTCACGGGTTTCCCCAACTGTAAATAATAATGATACTGACCTTCTTTGTAAAGCACTTGGAGATCTACAGAAATGTGCTATATGAGGGCACATTATTTTTATTATAGAGCTTTAAATAGAAAGGGGATCTTAACATTAACTATACAGGAACTGCCACTTCACTATAATTATTCCCTGTGCTTAATCAAAGAGATTTTACTATTTTTTAATATTAACTGTGTATCGTTTGCAAGTTCACTTAAAATTTGCTGGCATCTCATTAACAGACTAATCCTCCAAATGTCTTGAGGCCTCCATTCATGCTCACATTCACCTCTTTTCCTCACTCGCAATCAGCCAGCTCTCCTCCAACTTCCCCAAGTCTTTGGGACAATTGAATTCTATGTACAAAAGAGGAGATCCTTCATTCCACAAATCCAGTGTTCCATCTCTGGCTGTGGCCCATGCTGGTTGCTTCTGGGGTCCCCCCTCTCCTGTCTCTCTCTTCCAGTGGTATGCAGGAGAGGACGAAATGGACAAATGCAGACTGGAAGCAGGGTTACAAACTGGGCTTTTATTTCAGAGTGTTTAGTGTATTTACAAGAGTTTTTAAAAAATGGCCTGGCCCTGTGCAGGAGACAGAGAACCCCTGCTCAAAAGGTGTGAGGATAATTTGAGCCCTTAGCAATACCACACCTCACAAGGGGTAACACTTGGAGGAATGTAACACTGAGCACTCATGGGATGGAGACTGGGAAGTAGTGTGAAATTATTCAGAAGTTCCTAACAAAATATATGCCATCGTATTTTCAGTTAAATCAGATTAAGCAAATCACCCAAAGGCAGACACACATATGAGGCCACAGTCACGCATGCCTGCCTTGCCTGAGTGTAAGCAGAGATGTGCAGATGCACTCATGCCACTGTATGTGCATGCACTTTTCCATTCTCAACCAGTCATTCATGTATGCACACAGGCAAGTACATTCAAAGCCACACTCGCGCCCATCTATGCACACTTGCTCTTGTTCATGCACACACGCACAGTGACACATATACATGTCCTTTGTTAATGCTCTTTTACATGTGTTTTAGGTACAGAAAAGAGCTATAGAAATAGCACCAATCTCACCTGACCTATCAGCACCTGAGAAACCCCATTACTCCCCTTGAGCAATAGAGGAACAGGAAGATAACTTCTCCCTCTTTCTTGTGGTGGCACCATCCAACCGCTGAACATCCATGACTAGGCCCCAGTCGATGTTCCCTTTCCAGGGCTGGGAGGTTGGGTTCTGCATTGTAGGTTGGCCTCCATGTTTCAGTCACAGAATCAGTCTGTTTCGTCCTTTCGGAGGTGCTCCCCCATGACAGTTGCTGTAGGACTCTCTCTTGGTTTGACGGCATAAGTGACTTTGTGGTTCACTGAAAAGTGATCATTAACCTTCCACCAGCATCACCTGCTGCCAACCCCAACAACCATACCAGAGGGGGTGGGGAAAAGAGATGGAGACACACAAGAAAGAAAGAGTGAACTCGAATCCTCTCTGAAGAGGAGGGACAGAGCTACCGAAGGGAGCACGAAAGCAGAAGAGGTTAGAGTTGCCTGTGCAGGAGGTAAGAATGGGGGTTAGGGCTGCCTGGACAATGCCTCCTGAATAGCCTCGCTGCAACCACTCAGCTCCATCTGGTTGAGGACATAGCTGATGCGCTCCACTGTGGCACCCTGGCCCATCTGCAGCCTCCATTGTCTCAGCATCTCATATTGGGCATCCCGCACACGCCGCTGCTCCAGCTCGATTCGCTCAATCTCATAGTCACTCAGCCCCAGGCGTCGCACAAACTCCTTCCACCGAGACAGCAGCACATGGTCCGCCACAGTATAGAGAACAACAGGGTCTGGGTGAAACAAGCAAGGGGACATCAGCAGCAGGGTCTGGGGAAGTGGAGGGGGGACGCAAACGGCACCAGTGTAGTCTGGGTGGGAAACATGATGGTGCCATGTTGGGAAGCACCTCCCTCAGATAAGGTCTTGCATCCCTCTGAGTGATCACACAGACACATGTCACACCTGGGTCTGAGCCTATCTACAAATGAATATGGAGGATCCCGCAAGCTTGTTCACAGGGATGGTCTTGCATACACATGCACACACATGCCAGGCCATTCTTGTAAAGATGCTTGCACTGTGTCACTGCCACGCATTCACACAGTAAAGTACAGCAGGCCATAAACTCACCAAAACAAGACTGTCACACACAAGACTGGACACATGCAACAGGCCACCCTTGGCTGGCCTCATGCAAACACACACACATGTGAACTCATATGTACTAGATCTGCTTGGGCACAGGGCTGCAACTGATGCACAGAATTGTCATGCACATATGCACACAGGTGCACATGCTGCACAGACACATGCACATCCCACCCCCACATGCACGCAGAAATCCCATTTCTCAGGGGGAGCTGCACTCACTGTCTGGGAGTTGAGTCTTTCCAGCAGGTCTGACACAATCTGGTAGCTCTTGTGCAACCATTGACCTTGGCACAGCATTGGCTGTCCACATTTTTTCTATCTGGGGTGGTACCGGAGCAAAGGTGGCAGCTTTCCTCTCATTCATCACAACCTGTGAGAGACAAGTATTTACTCTGGAATCACCACTGGAGCAACCCAACACCCACTATATCTGAGGGGAACAGCTGCTACTGCGCACTTAACAGGGTAATGGATCAGGGACCCAGAAGTTAAAACTTTCACATGAGGGAGGGGAACCCCCCAAAGACACCTTATTTGTGGGGATGGGGGTCAAACATTTCTTACCTACAGAGCAAAAGGGGTTAAACTTTCTCTTGGCATCAGAAAATGGGAGTCTAAGAGGAAACAGCTACAGAACTGAGTCATGCTGGGAGCCCAGCTCGGGGCCCCATGGTCTCAGAGATCTCAAATGAGTTCCAGAGGAGGGAGGGGACAGTCCCTCTTTATACAGTCTTGAGGAGATCCCAATACTGCACTCAGCTCTGAGCCCCTTAATCCCAGAGAGGTAGCGACAAACTGAGGGAGCTCAGAGAAGAGCCACAGAAATGCTCAGGGGGCTGGAGGGATCAAGTTCTGAGGAGAAATTCAGTGAGCTAAATCTGCCAGGCTTGGCCAGGCCAGGCATAAAGGATGGGGGCGAAACAGGGTGGGACATGAGACCCATCTGCAAGTGTCTGAGAAGCATGAATCCTGAGAGAGAGGAGAATGGGGCAAGATGAAGCCTGGGGATAGGAACTCAGAATCTATTCCTCACTCGTCAGGGGGTCTGTGAAACTGAGCCCTGGTCTACACTACGAGTTTAGGTCGAATTTAGCAGCGTTACATCGATTTAACCCTGTACCCGTCCACACAACGAAGCCATTTTTGTCGACTTAATGGGCTCTTCAAATCGATTTGTGTACTCCTCCCCAACGAGGGGATTAGCGCTGAAATCAACATCACCGGGTCAAATTTGGGTGAGTGTGGACGCAATTCGATGGTATTGGCCTCCGGGAGCTATCCCACAGTGCTCCATTGTGACCGCTCCAGACAACACTCTCAACTCGGATGCACTGGCTAGGTGGACAGGAAAAGCCCTGCGAACTTCTGAATTTCATTTCCTGTTTGGCCAGCGTGGCAAACTGATCAGCGCAGGTGACCATGGAGTCCCAGAATCACAAAAGAGCTCCAGCATAGACCAAACGGGAGGTACTGGATCTGATCACTGTATGCGGAGACGAATCCGTGCTATCAGAACTCCGTTCCAAAAGACGAAATACCAAAATATTTGAAAAAATCTCCAAGGGCATGAAGGACAAATGCTATAACAGGGACCCGCACCAGTGCCGCGTGAAACTTAAGGAGCTTAGGCAAGCCTACCAAAAAACCCAAGAGGCAAACGCCCACTCGGGGTCAGAGCCCCAGACATGCCACTTCTATGATGAGCTGCATGCCATTCTAGGAGGTGCCCCTACAACTACCCCACAACTGTACGTGGACTCCTGCAAGGGAGTCTCACGCAACAGGGATGAGGATTGTGGGGATGAGGAAGATGAGGAGGATGGGGAGGTTGAAGACAGCGCACACCAGGCAAGCGGAGAAACCATTCTCTCCAACAGCCAGGAACTGTTTATCACCCTGGAGACAGTACACTCCCAACCCAGGCTCCCAGACCTTGAAGGCAGAGAAGGCACCTCTGGTGAGTGTACCTTTGTAAATATAATACACGGTTTAAAAGCAAGCGTGTTTAAAGATTAATTTGCCCTGAAGACTTGGGATGCATTTGCGGCCAGTACAGCTACTGGAAAAGTCTGTTAACGTGTCTGGCGACGGAGCGCAAATCCTCCAGGGACATCTCAATGAAGCTCTCCTGGAGGTACTCCCAAAGCCTTTGCAAAAGGTTTCTGGGGAGGGCAGCCTTATTCCATACTGCATGGTAGGACACTTTACCATGCCAGGCCAGTAGCATGTAGTCTGGAATCATTGCATAAGAAAGCATGGCAGCGTATGGTCCCAGTGTTTGCTGGCATTCAAGCAACATCCGTTCTTTATCTCTCTGTCTTAGCCTCAGGAGAGTGATATCATTCATGGTCACCTGGTTGAAATAGGGGAATTTTATTAAAGGGACTTTCAGAGGTGGCCGTTCCTGCTGGGCTGTTTGCCTGTGGCTGAAAAGAAATCATCCCCGCTGTTAGCCACGTGGTCGGGGGAGGGGTGAAGCGATCATCCCAGAGAATTGGGTGTCGGGGGGGTTTAGTTGGGTTTGTGCTGCACGTTAACCCAAAAACATCAGCCCCTCCTTTTAAATGGTCAATGTGTTTTTTTCAATTTTAATCTCCCTTTTTTTCCTCCCGCAGCTGCAAATGTTTCAACGCTGCGACTAGCATCTCCGTCCCAGAGGCTAGTGCAGATAAGAAGGTGGAAAAAAACGCACTCGTGATGAAATGTTCTCTGAGCTCATGCAGTCCAAACTGAAAGAGCCCAGCAAAATGCGTGGAGGCAGACAATGGCAGAGTCCAGCAAAGCACAAAATGAACGCAAGGACAGGAGGGACGCACGAGAGGACAAGTGGCGGGAGCAACAGGAGAGGTGGCAGGATCAAGAGGAAAGGTGGCGGCAGCATGATGAAAGGAGGCAGGATGCAATGCTGAGGCTACTGTAGGATCAAACTGATATGCTCCGGCGTATGGTTGAGGTGCAGGAAAGGCACAGACCACCACTGCAGCCTCTGTGTAACCAACCACCCTCCTTCCCAAGTTCCACAGCCTCCTCACCCAGACGCCCAAGAATGTGGGGGGAGGCGCGGCGGCTCTGGGCACCCAACCACTCCACCCCAAAGGACTACCCAAACAACAGAAGGCTGGCATTCAATAAGTTTTGAAGTGCAGTGTGGCCTTCTCCTCCCCTCCTCCCCCACCCCACCCGGTGCTTCCCTCCACCACCCCTCCTGGGCTACCTTGGCAGTTATCCCCCTATTTGTGTGATGAATTAATAAAGAATGCATGAATTTGAAACAACAATGACTTTATTACCTCTGCAAGTGGTGATGGAAGGGGGGAGGGGAGGGTGGTTGGCTTACAGGGAAGTAGAGTGAACCAAGGGGGCGGGTTTTCATCAAGGAGAAACAAACAGAACTGTCATACTGTAGCCTGGTCAGCCATGAAACTGGTTTTCAAAGCTTCTCTGATGCGCAGCATGCCCTGCTGTGCTCTTCTAACCGCCCTAATGTCTGGCTGCGCTTAATCAGGGGCCAGGCGATTTGCCTCAACTTCACACCCCACCATAAACCTCCCCCCTTACTCTCACAGATATTATGGAGCACACAGCAAGCAGTAATAACAATGGGAATATTGGTTTTGCTGAGGTCTAACCGAGTCAGTAAACTGCGCCAGCACACTTTTAAACGTCCAAATGCACATTCTACCACCATTCTGCACTTGCTCAGCCTATAGTTGACCAACTCCTGACTACTGTCCAGGGTGCCTGTGTATGGCTTCATGAGCCATGGCATTAAGGGGTAGGCTGGGTCCCCAAGGATAACTATAGGCATTTCAACATCCCCAACGGTTATTTTCTGATCTGGAAAGTAAGTCCCTTCCTGCAGCTGTTGAAACAGACCAGAGCTCCTGAAGAAGCGAGCGTCATATACCTTTCCCGGCCATCCCACGTTGATGTCGGTGAAACGTCCCTTGTGATCCACCAGTGCTTGCAGCACCATTGAAAAGTACCCCTTTCAGTTTATGTACTGGCTGCCTTGGTGATCCGATCGCAAGATAGGGATATGCGTTCCGTCTACTGCCCCACCACAGTTAGGGAATTCCACTGCAGCAAAGCCATCCACTATGACCTGCACATTTCCCAGAGTCACTACCCTTGATAGCAGCAGCTCAGTGATTGCGTTGGCTACTTGGTCACAGCAGCCCCCACAGTAGATTTGCCCACTCCAAATTGATTCCTGACTGATCAGTAGCTGTCAGGCATTGCAAGCTTCCAGAGGACTATTGCCGCTCGCTTGTGAACTGTGAGGGCTGCTCTCATCTTGGTATTCTTGCACTTCAGGGCAGGGGAAAGCAAGTCACAAAGTTCCATGAAAGTGCCCTTACGCATGCAAAAGTTTCGCAGCCACTGGGAATCATCCCAGACCTGCAACACTATGCAGTCCCACCAGTCTGTGCTTGTTTCCTGGGCCCCGAATCAGCGTTCCATGGCATGAGCCTGCCCCATTGCCACCAGGATGGCCAAATTGCCGGGGCCCGTGCTTGGGAGAAGTCTGTGTCCATGTCCTCATCACTCTTGTCACCGCGCTGCCATTGCCTCCTCGCCTGCTTTTACAGGTTCTGGTTCTGCATATACTGCATGATAATGCATGAGGTGTTTACAATGCTCATAACTGCTGCGGTGATCTGAGCGAGCTCCATGCTTGCCATGGTATGGCGTTTGCAGGAGAGCAGAGTTGCAGGGGCAGCGGTGGTTGGATGACCAATTTTGCAGATCTACTGCACCGTCTGCTGCCAGGACACAACAGATGAGCGGGCTGCATGCTTGCCGTGTTATAGCAAGACAAGAGCAGCTGAGCAGAGTTGCAGTGGAAGCAGCCCTGCGAGATCAGCAGGAGAGCAGAGTGGCAGCGGAAGCGGTGGATGATGACGGTCACATAGAGGACCTGCGAGGTGGATTCATAGCATCAGGAGAGCAGAGTGGCAGCGGAAGTGGTTGTTCGATGACGATAGTTTGCAGACCTACTGCACCGTCTGCTGAAAGCAGTATGGCACCCGCACGGAAAAAAGGCACGAAACGATTGTCTGCCGTTGCTTTCACGGAGGGAGGGGCTACTGACTACATGTATCCAAAACCACCCGCAACAATGTTTTTGCCCCATCAGGCATTGGAAGCTTAACCCAGAATTCCAATGGGCGGCAGAAACTGCGGGATAGCTACCCACAGTGCAATGCTCCAAAAGTCGACACTAGCCTCGGTACTGTGGACACACTCCACCGACTTAATGCGCTTAGTGGGGGGACACACAATCAACTGTATAAAATCGCTTTCTAAAAAATCAACTTCTATACATTCGACCTAATATTGTAGTGTAGACATACCCTGAGAAGTTGTCTCTTTATGTATAGGACCCAGAGCCTTAGTGCTCGGGATGTTCAGAAGTACAAACCCTGAGAACAGGCTGGGGGAAGAATATTGCCCTGGGCCCCAGGCAGGTGGAATGGGTCTGAGGGGAATGATAATCTGAAGGTAGGTTTCTACACTGAGTACCTTGCTTACTTCAGATACTGGCTCCCTCTTTGGCTGCTGCGTAGAAACTGAAAAAGAAGAAATTGTTTTCACTTCCTCCCCGCCAAGATAAACAGAAAAAGCAGCTCAAGCCCACGGGTGCCTCTATAGCTCTGACTTCACTCGAGGGATTTTAGTGAAATGCACAAATCCCAGCAACAAGCTCACGGGAGGGATTCTCATCACAGGCGTGAGTATGGATGCAAGACTGTAAGAACTGCCAAGATCAGGACAATGAGCTCATCTACCCTAGCATGCACCTCCATCCTTGCACTAGATCAGACCAATGGGATGCCGAGCCCCATATGTCCCTCCCTCCCTCGCTCCCCCCCCCCCTCCGCAAAATCCCCCCAGCCGGTATCACCTCAGAGACCGTTGTACTCACCACAGGAGTAAAAAATAGCGGTTGTCAATTTTTGACGGTATTGCTTGATCAATTTAACTGCAAAGAGCAGTCCAAGGCTAGCTGCAAGCACAACGACGAGGCCAACGAGTAAGATGGTATGACCTAGACGAGGGAGAAACGTTGAGTGAGTAACAGAAGGAAGGGGAGAGGGTGGGAGTAAGGACAGGCGCAAGACTGGAAAGGGAACATGTGAAGATGGGGATGGGAGTGAAAGCGGAGGAAAAGTGGGGAGAGAGGAGGATGCATAGGGCAGTAATAGGGCAGGGAGGATGGCGATGGGGTTGGTAGTGAAAGCAGAAGCAAATGTTGGAGGAATGCCAATACTGTACCCCAGTAGTTACCCTGCACCGAGGGGGAAGTTGATGGCCTTGGCACTGCGTCACAGACCTTCTTACATTCTTCTTCATTACAGCTGAAAGAGGGAAGCAGAAATCTGAGTGATGTGGGGAGTGAGGGCAACATGTGTCAAGTATTCTTAGAGAGTGCCCCATTTCACAGCCCCTTGCAAATCTGTCTGGGGACAGCACTAGGGGGCAGCCTGAGCCTGGAAGATGAGGTTATTCAATCTGCCTGCAGAAGGTCAGTGCCTAATGGAGTCCACTCTCACAGTTGCATAAGTAGGGGGAGCATAGGAACAGGAAACCAACCTGTTGCAAGGGTTGCAGCTATTTTTGTGCAGGAAGTATCCAGCATGACAGACACAGATCGTGTCACTGTTCTTTGTACCTGTAGAGAAAAGAGGGAAACATCAGCCCCAGGGGAGATGACGGAGAAGGAAAATCCCTTGAGGGTGGGGAGAGGATGATCTCTCTTTGGGGGTGGGGAAACTGTTGTCAGGAAGGTGAATCACTCCATGGCATGGGTGTTTGGGAGGAGATGGGGGCAGGTGTGACACTCCCCGGTAGATGGTGGTTGGGGAAAACTGTTTCAGAGCAGGGGGATCACTCTCTGGCACAGGACAGAGGGAAACTGCTCCAGTGTAGCAGAAACTGGGTTGAAAGATGGAAACAGAGAGGTGCACAAGGGAAAAAATTCACTACAGAGCAAGCAGGAGGGGAAGGAGAGGGAGAAGTGGCTCCAGAGCAGCAGGCATGAGTGAGGAAGCCAATCAGGGCAGGGGGGAAGAGAGAAATCACTCTGAGCTGTGGGACGTCATGTGTGGGCAATATCTGTAAGAAAAAATGCTCTAGTGCAGTTGTGAGGGAAACTGCTCAAGAGGAAGTCACACCATGAGGGAGGGAGGGAACCAGCTAAAGGGCAGGGCAGGGCAGGGTGGAGGAGAGGCAAAACTCACTTGAGGAAGGGAGGGAAAATGGCTCCAGAACACATGGGGGGGGAGCGCACTAGGGGGAGGAGGGAGGGAAACAGCTCTAAGTCAGAGGAGAGCGAAGGAAATTGCTCAAGGGCAGGGGGAGGAGGGAAGTCACTCTAGGGCAAGCATGAGTGTGTTCAAGTGCGAGAGGGAGAGAAGCAAGAATGGGAAGGGGCACGGCAGAGGAGGGGACACGCCTAAGGGGCAGGGAAATTCATACCACGGAAGGTGTGAGATGTGGAAGGGGAAAATTGCCAAAGAGAGGGAGACTAGCTTCAGAACAATTGGGTAGGGAGCTGTACTATGGGAAAAGAAGGAAAACAGACTACAGGAGAAAGGGGATGGAGGAGGAAATGAGCATAGGTCAGGAGGGAGGTGGTGCGGGACTAAGGCCTGGTCTATACTAGAAAATTAGATCAGTTTAACTCTGTTGGTCGGGGATGTGAAAAATCCACACTCCTGAGTGGCATAGTTAAGCTGACCTAAGTTTCTGTGTGGACAGTGCTAGGTCAATAGAAGAATTCTTCAATCAATCTAGCTACCATCTCTCAGGGAGGTGGATTATCTATGCCAATGGGAGGTATTCTCCCATCAGCATAGGTAG